ACGGAATTCTTGTTCAGCATAAAAAATTACCTATATATCAATAAAATTTGACAAAGAATAACGAATAGGTAAGATAATACATGACGATGGTAAAATGTATTACTAATACAACTTTGTACGTATTTTTTCCCAATTTCTCATTAAGACGCTAACAGCGACGAGGAAAATGATGATCCCGTAATGACTACTCGAAACCAACAGCCATTACATTATTATACGAGAGAATCTACTGACAACGTCTGCATTGACTTCTTAAAACTAGTTCGACAGTCGCAAATCAGCAAACAACAATCTCTACAGTTTTTATTATTCATTAAAAATATTTTACCTGTACCAAATCTAATGCCAAACACATTGGATAAAATACTAACTCAGCTAAATATCACGAACTATTTTTACAAACGGGCTATATGTATATTATGTGAGAAACAACTCAAAAATGAACAAACAAAATGTGACGTTTGCTCGACGGCTAACCCAAAACACACAGCCACATTCTTGACACAAACTTTTCAGCTTTATTATCATCAGTCGTGACACGTCTAGCTAAAGAGATTCAACGATTTAAGCAGCACATATCAACAGCGAATCCAACAACTCCATATGATATTCCATTCGGTAAACAATATCAGAAACTATTAGCTGAATGTCCTGGTCAGAATTTATTATCATTAGTGATTCACCTTGATGGTGTTGGCCTGGTGAAATCCACTAATCTTAAATTATGGCTGTGCAGCGTTTCTCTGATTGAATTACCACCACATATCCGTACCAGACGACATAACATGCCACTACTATCCATGTATATTGGACATACAGAACCTAATGTCAAAATTTGGCTAAAATGGAGTTTAAATATGGTAAATCAATTAAAACGTGAAGGTATGGTCGACTGTTTAAAGAGAAAATCTTGTCAGAGCGGCTTTCACTAAGAGTATTAATGTTAGTCAGCTTCTCTTCATTCATTCTTGTGTTTTGAACTGTTTTTTATCTTTCTCTCGCCCAGTAATCTAACACTAAGGGTCTAAAATATACTTAGTTTTATTTATATCTAGCCTCGGTTTTTCATCAGGCATTTTTGGTGCTTTAGGGTCGGTAATTGGTAAAAAATAGTAGGCCCTTTATACCGTCCGATGAATCTCTAGTTGTCCCTGCATATATTCAAAGTTTACATTATACGGAAGATCCTGTCAAATTTTGAACAAGAAAAGATAAATAACCATTGCAGGCATCCTCTTCCATCTGTTCGTTTCTAGCCGAAAAAAGTTTTGTTTCTTTTCTTTAGCATTCAGAATTAATTCAGAGTTATTATTTCATTTAAATATTTATGGAGTAATCGGTGATTGTCCGGCTCTAAAGTTAATTCTTAACATGGTCGGGCATACCGGTTACTTTTGCTGTTTCTATTGTCATCTTAGAGGCTTTCACCATCAACAGGCACTTAAAAGACAATATCCGTACATAACAATATCCAATATCGAACACAAAACTCATTCTTAACCAACGCCGAAGAAGCCGAAAATAACCATCGTAACGTCTTGGGGCACCTTGGATTATCCGTTTTGCAAGGTATAATAGATATTCCACTCCCACATTCTATATTATGTGATTACAGCCGCGTAACATTATTACGTCATTTTCGAGATGTTCTTCGAATCATATCTTCGTCGTTAACACCACATATCCGAAAAGAAATTGATCGAGAACTTCGTCAGCAGAAGTTCCCTCATTACTTTAACCGAAAGGTTCGTGGGATTGAT